CGATAACCCGTGCGTCTGTTGAAGAGTGGCCTCCATTTTGCGCAGCAACCGCTGCGCCTGAGCTCGCCGATCTATGGGGGCAGGAATCATCGCCGATGGTGTGCCCTGTGATCGCTGCCCTTGCGGCCCGAGTCGTGTCCTCGGTCTCACTCGTCGCCCTCCTCCATCATCTCCATCTGCCGCTCGTGGTTTGGGTACGTAATCGGAGTCCCCTGCATCATCAGAGCCTGTGGTCTCTCCCGGGGCGACATCTGTGTTGTCGTCGTGGACGATAAGTACACTGCCGCGTCTCTTCTGACCTGCCACTGCATTCCCTGTGCCCTCCCTGCCGACGATATTCGCCGTCGTTGCATCCCTCCCTCCAACATCCAATGCGTCGCCGTCAGGTGCAATCTCTCTATCCTCGAGATGCACAACGCCCGATCCTCTCTCTCGGGAACGCATATGTGAGGATGAACGTGACGCCTTCCTTGCCGAGGCCTTCTTCCTTGCCCGAGAAAGACTCGCCTTTGCGGCTCTCGTAGCATGGACATCAGACGTCTTCGTCGACAAAGCACTCCCGTGTCGGTCCTCAAACTCGGCCATGGCGGTGTGCCGAGCACCATCCACACTCTCAATGGATCGTTTCCCCATAGACGGTGCAGATGGCCTRCCAACATTCCGGACTCCCTGCTCATCCATCCCCCCAGTACTCTTCCCGCTGGCATAGAATGCCACTGTCGGCAAAACAGTGGCTCTGTCGCGCCGYGCTGTCGCCGATGACCCAACCACAAGCTATTCTGTCGTGTCCGCGCCACTGTTTGTGACGGGAATGCCCGCATCTACGTCGACAGCCGCGGCAATCGGATGATGCTCTAAGTTTGACGGCGGACTTGGGGGTCTTGCTTCTCTTTCGAGTGTGTCAACTGACCCACCAGGAGACCCTTCCTCTGCGCCGTCAAACGGATGAGAAAGACTGCGTTGTGCGATGCTGCGCTGACCGTCGCGGCGGTGTCGCGTCGCCGTCTCCGCCAAACCAAGGGCCACCTCGCGTAGTTTGCCAACACGAGAAATTGTGGGTGTGGCAGACACCATTGGGCTTGTAATCATATCGGCGATATCGCCTCCTGCCACGTCAAACCTGTCCGATCCACGCTCCATGACAACAGGTTGTTGTGGCTTGGGCGGTGACACATGGGGTAGACCTGGGGATATCAACGTCGACAAGTCCGGTAGAGAAACGAGCGCAGAGTCCATGGTCAGTAACTCGCCGGTACCCGGAAGACTGCCGGTGGGGCATGCGAGGCCGACATGGTCTGCCGCGCTCTGCTCGGCTGCGGGAGTGTGTGAGATATCACGTTCCGGGAGATCGTCGCCTTGACACACAACAACGGTCCCCTGACTCCCCTCCATCAATGCGGGCGGTGGCCGCGGTTGAACACTGCGAGGTGGGAGAATACTTTCTTGCTCCGCCGCTGCCAGTGGTTGTCCCACATCCGAGGTCGCTGCAACTGAGACTGYCGCTCCGGCAGACGTGAGTGGATGCAGTGCACCGACAGAACCCTCGTCCCGCACTGCCGGGAGAGGACTGATCTCTCCCTGAACCTCGGGATGACGCATCAACGGTGCTGGACCCTGTTGCGATTCTGGGACTGCTGCGGAAGGGCCCATCGGAGCTGTCGCGTGCATACTCGAAGTGTCACCTCGTGGATGACCGCTCCCGCCATGCAGCTCGATCCGCTCCTCGCCGCCGTGATCGCTCAAAGAGTCCTTTGAAACTGGAATATGCCCAGTTGCGGGGACTCGTGATAGTGGAATGCTAGCAACCCCACCATGACGCTTGCGCACACGTGAAGCGATAGTGTCTTTTTCCCTTGGTCCGCGTTTCAAGCGCCTCAGGTCACCGCCCGAGACAGGTCGTGAACCATCATCATGCACTCCATCTCGAGCGTCATCTACTGCTGTGCGGTGCTCGCCCCCTGCCCCGTCRGCGCGCATCGTGTCACCATGTGCWGGTCGTGGCCTATCTCCTCCGTCACCGTGATCATCACCACTGGCGCCATCGTCGTCGCCCACGTTCGGGTGACGGTCGTCGAAATCGCTGTCGCCATCCTGTGCAGGCCTGCCA